GTTGTGGTGGTCTATGTGGAAAGTTTTATAAGATAGCTCATCTTGCTGCAATGCCGGACACCATTGACACTGGCAGTTTCAGCAACGCGGTTTATAAATCGTGTCTTTCGAGTTCATGGACCTTCGGAGTCAATTGTCTCTGACAGAGACCCACGCTTTAGTGAGAAGTCCTGGTCTGAAATCGTCAGGGTGCTGGGCACCAAGTTGACTATGTCGCAATGACCGTGTGAAGATCGACGCAAACTCAATAGTGTTGAACAAATTAGAGTACGGAGTCAATTGTCTCTGACAGAGACCCACGCTTCAGTGAGAAGTTCTGGTCTGAAATCGTCAGGGTGCTGGGCACCAAGTTGACTATGTCAACAGCGGATCATCTGCAGACCGATGGCCAAACTACGAGCGTGAATCGCGTCGTTGAATACGTTATTTGCAGCGTCTGCGCTGAGAGGCCAAAGCGCAGAAGCGCCATGCTGTCTCTTGTGGAGTTCGCTCCAAAAACTGCGGTGCATGCGTCGATTAACTACACGTAGTTCTACGTGAACGGGCTTGTTAATCGCCATCCCATGATTCAGAGCTTGATGGGGGGAGTAGCCGAAAGGCTAGCCGATGTCAGCCGCTTCACTGTGTCTAAAGAAGTAGAAGACTTCCTGTCTATAAGACTGAGTGTCCTACAACATATTCGCGATGCGACGGTCGAAAGCCAAGACATGCAGATATTAGAAGCAGAAAAATCGCGGAGAACTTTGATGTTGGGGATCTGGTTTTATTAAATTTTAAAAACCTTCCTACACATGCAGTATCTGCTGTATTCAAGACAAATATTCGTCCACGGTTTATTGAACCTAAAGGTTAAAATTTGGCAGGTCTACCGAAGAAATGCTATTGGACACCTGGGTGGCGCTAGAAACTATGCGTGCGCATATATTGCAAGCGAATCTTGCAAAGTACATTTCCGGTGCCGGCGAAGTATCGGTCCTCGGTTGTGATGCTGGTAAACACGGTGTTTGTGCAGATTCTGGGACAGCCAAAACAATATGAAAAGTGACCAACACCACGGAATCAAAAAATATTTGTGAAACTGGATCAGTTTAACCAATCACATGTATCGCTTCTTGCGTGACTTCGCGAAATTGGTACGCCCACTATTAATCTTGCTGATGAAAGACGTATTGTGGGAGTGGTCGTCCACTTGTGAAAAAGCCTTCACTCAGCTCAGAACTGTTTGATGGAAGCACCATTACTTGACTGGCCAATCAAGGAGCTGCGTATACGCTGAACTTTTCGAGAAGGACGCGCACACACTCGGTGTCTTATGTGGGCTTGCTTCTGAAAAAGTGATCGCGGAAGCGCTGGTGCCGTAAGCGCTTGGCTATCCAGTAGTTACACTAGAAACTGGTTCTGAGCACGGAGTGCAACAATTTCCGTTCGCAACGGCGCAAGGCGCTCCACCGTCGCACAAAGTTACGTATTCGTCTGCTCGAGGGCAAGGATCTCCTCCGACAGAGCGCGATAATCCTCAACGTGAGGTAGTCGATGCACAAAGTGCTCCAAGCTTTCGAGGTCTTCCGCACAGTGGTATGCGACCTCGGCAAAATGCTCGGCGGAATGCTGATGATGACTGACTTTGCACTCCAAAGCGCATGGAGCATCGCGAGGCACTGGGCGGCGTTCGACCCAGTAGTCAACGACCGCCACCGACTCTTCTCGATGAGAATCGTGGTGTCCTCTCCCACGTGGAACGCCTTGTGGGTCGACGTCATCGGCAGGGTCCAACCCAATACCTTGTGAAGTGGCGGGGAAACCTCGACTTCGAGAACGCGTATGAGTATGAGGTGCCACATCGGCAAGACCGCCTTGACGTCGTGGGCACTTATGATCAGAAGAATCATGACGCTTCGCGTCCTCGTGCGCCCCGCGCTTTCTAGGCAGTAGCCTGGGAAGCCGGAGGACCATTAGCCAAGCTCAAGCTATGGCCATGAGCTGCTGTGGTCGAAGACCTAGCTGTGTGAGGAACCCCAGGGCTCGCGGGAGTGTGATGGATGCTTCCATGTGTTGCAGGGCGACATTACGCAGTAGGACGGCGTTGAGCTATATGTTTAACAAACTCAAATCGAAGATGGCGCCCTTCGCGCACGCCCGCTTATTTTTGCTCCGTTGTAAGGTAGACAGCGAGAAAGGTTTCCGATGTTGCTGCACCCATCGCTCAAAGAGCATTTTATTATTTGCGGCAGGTTCGCCGGGGGCGAGCACCACAGGTATAGTCCGCATTGCGGGTACAGGAGCACCTCCTCTATGAGCTAGAAGTCAAGCGCAGTACCTTATTCTTTGGTATATCTTGAGGTACCAAAAAGCAAGCTCGGAGAGATTCCGCTGATCAAGCTCAGTTTGTATAGCGGCCGTTGGGCGACTACGTCGACGCCTAACGATACAGTAATCGCGTCTTTCGCTTCAGTAGCGGGATCCTCCGAGCGA